TCCCAGGGTGCTGGGATTACAGGTGTGAGCCACTATGCCCAGCATCTTTTAGAATATGTGTATTTTTATTACCCACATTTAATTCTTTGATTATAATTTATCTTGATAGAGGGCAAGGGATAGATTTAATTTTTCCCTTGTTCTCCCAACACCGCTTATTAACTAGTCAATTTTTCCCACTGGTTTGTGATGTCACTTCCACTGTATGTTCAATTTCTGTTACATTTGGTCTATTTTTATCTAGTCCACTGGTCATGCTCTCTACACACATGCCAGAATTAATTATTGAGACTTCGTGTCTTAATACTGGTTACACATCATTGATTTTCTTTTTCAGAGATTTCCTACATATTCTGTTTTTCTTATAGTAGCAATTTCTCAGTCTATCAGTTTGATTAAAAAACAGCCAAGTGTGAAGCCTGGGGCAGGAGGATCATGATGTGTTCGAGGCCAGCCTGGGCTACCTCGTGAGTTCAAGGCCAGCCTGAACTACATTGCAAGATCCTGTCTCAAAAATTTTTTTAAAAGATTAATAAAGAACTGAAATGCAAATCCATCATTCTGAGATGTCTTTTGTGTATGTTCCTAATTCTACCCCAGGTCTTTTGGGGTGGTGCTGTGGGAGCTGCTGACGGGAGAGATCCCCTACAAAGATGTCGATTCTTCAGCCATTATATGGGGTGTTGGAAGCAACAGCCTGCACCTTCCAGTTCCTTCCACCTGCCCTGATGGATTCAAAATCCTTATGAAACAGACGTGGTAAGAGTATATTTCTTCCAATATCCTCTTGTACTTTCTTCCTCAAGTGCATATAGAAAGCTCTGACACACCAAGAGGTCCCTAACGTGTATTTGGAGTGAATCACCTGGTGGTGGAAGACTAGAAGCCATGGAATTGGAGAACCTTGGCTTCACATACTGGCTTTGCCTTTTTTAACCTGTGTACTTCAGGTCACATCATTCACGTATCAGTTTTCTCATCTGTAAAATAGAAATAGCACCTGCTCATAGAGTTGCTGTGTTGTGACTAAATAAAACTTGTAAGTGAAGAATTTGGTATTGTACCTTGAAGTAATGGGCCTTAGTAAGTGATACTATTATTACCTTAGCAGTCCTAGTGGGCTACTATATAGGTCAGTGACACTAGCTAGGCTTCCATTTCATCAATAGTGGGATCTCCTAATGACATTTCCCTTCTGCCCTTCCGAACATCAGAATTGTCTGCGATATAGCCATTTTGGAGTAAAACAAAAGTGCTTCATAAAGTAGAATAAAATCTTCATCCTCCAGAGCATGACTTCCAAGACGCATAGACTGTCTTTTTTATTCTAGGCAGAGTAAACCTCGCAACCGGCCTTCTTTTCGGCAGACTCTCATGCACTTGGACATCGCATCTGCAGATGTTCTGGCCACGCCACAGGAAACTTACTTCAAGTCCCAGGTAAACAGGGATTCTGCCCACCCTGGTGCTCCTGGGCAGATGGGCAGAGAGAAAGGCCCGCTCTCCGAAGGGGCTTCCTTAGCCTCAAACAATTCTATAGCTTTATTCTTTGTGAAATAATAATTATGACACTTTCATGCATATGACATATGGTAGTTTGTTAACTACCATATATTATCTCATTTGTAAAGAACACGTATGTTGGAATGTCACCCTTAGTGGGTTCTGGTGAAATTGTTGAAAAAAACAGGAAAAAAGGATGTGAAAACTAATGTACCTGCATTTGAATTAGAATTTTTGTTGACCTTCGTGAGAGTATTACTCTTCTGGATGCAGAAAAGCTGAAACACAGAAGAGGGAAGTTAAATATCAGAAAGAGTCCACAATAGAATTAAGCCCACAGAAAACTTTTTGCCTAACTTCAAGTGTGTTACCTAGCAGCTCCAAATAAAATATGAATGAATATATCTAACAGTCTTCACTGTACTAAAACTGTCCCAAGACTTACAGCTTAAAACAATAAACATTTATTTAGCTCACCGTTCTGTGGGTTGACAGTTTAAGCAGAGTAATTCTGCTAGCTCTGACGGGGCTCACTCACGCATATGCTGGGAGTTGGCAGGTCTCCTGGAAGGCTGGCTGCCCTAGGTAGTCTCATTTGCAAGTCTGCTGATAGTTTGGCATGAGCTGGAACACCTACATACTCGTCCGTGTGGCCGGTGACCCTTCAGCAGGCTGGCCTGGGCTTGATCACAGGGTGTTCTCAGGACGATGAAGACAGCAGGAAAACAAGTCCTGGTGCGCAAGCGATTTTCAAGCCTGCATTTGCACTGTGCCTGACCAGATCAGGTCACAGGCCTCCCAGATCTAGAGAGTGAGAACAGAAGTCATCTCTTGACGAGAGGACACAACAGCACCTTGTAAGGGCATAGATCCAGACAGAGGAAGAATTGTGGCTCTTTATAAAAATGCTGAGGGCCAGGGATATAGCTCAGTGGCACAAGTGCCTGCCTGGCAAGTGTAAGGTCCGAGTTTGATTCCCGACACCCACCCTCCAAATAAATAAATAAATAAATAAATTTTCTGAAGTGCCATAAATATTGGTGGTCTAGCCATGGCCATTATGGCGAGGGCATGTGGGAGATGAGTCCTTCCAATGTCCCTGCTAGACCCAGGCAGCACCAAAAAGCATAAAATTGTGGCTGTTGAATTAAATATGGGGATCCTAAATTATAGCATCACACTTACAGAACTTATAATGTTAATGAATTTCTTATTCCTCATGCAGCTTCGTTGTTGTGTTTCTAAAATAAATGTCTGTAGGGGCTGGGGATGTGGCTCAGTGGTAGAGCTCCTGCCTTGCATGCACAAGGCCCTGGGTTCAATCCCCAGCACCACATACATTAAAAAAAAAAAAAATCAATAATAATAATAATAAATAAATAAATTTTAAAAAATAATAATAAAATAAAATAAATGTCTGTAAAGTGAATTCCATCTCCCTGTTGACTTTCGGTATTATTTCAAAGACTTATTCTCAAAAAAGACATTTCAAAAAAATAGCCTAAAAATGCAAAGAAAGTTGTGTTAACCTGGGAAGAGAAAATAGACATCTACACATTTTAAAGATGAGAATAAGAAAAACATGTATTTCTTATATATTATAAGAGTAATATATTTTAGGTTCTCCAAGTATAAGTCAGCAGTTCTTAAAGTGTGATCTGCAGACTTCTAAGCATTCTGAAGACTCTTTCAAGGCATCCATGAGGTTTAAACTATTTTTGTAGTAAGATTAATTCATCATTTACCATTTTCATTCTCATTTTCTCAGGAATATAAGTGAAGTGTTCTAGAAGCCAAGTGTGGTAGCTCACACCTCTAATCCCAGCACATAGGAAGCTGAGGCAGGAGGATTGCCTGGAGTTTGAGGCCATCTTGGGCTACCTAATGAGTTCAAGACCAACCTGAGCTACATAGTGAGACATTGTCTCAAAAAAACAAACAAACAAAACAATAAAAAAGTGAAGTATTCTAGAAAAATTATATGGTGTGATGACGTAGCTCTGGTGGCTGATGGAATGTTCGCTCGTCTGCTCTTGTATGTAATTTCTCAGTTTTAATTTCTAGTCTGATAAATATCAATAGCTGTAGCTCAGATAAACAAATGAGCCCAGGCCAGCCTGCTGAAGGCTCAGTGGCCTTGTGGAAGAGTGTAAGAGAATCATGAGGTCCTGGACCTGGATTTTGAGAATCTCTGTTATAAAGCATTCACCCGACTGCATAGCCCCCATTCCAGTGGGTGATGGGTTTAATTCCAGGAAAGTACCTGTTGAACAAAGTACACCAGACTTGGGGAAGCAACAGGGATAGCTTTCGTGAAGCTCAGGCAGCCTCTTCCCTTACAAGGTTCTCTCTCTGTCCTCTGCTCCTCAGTCTCCGCACACTGGCTTCAGGCCTGCCCACTCTCCATGGCTTTGCATATGCCCATTATGCCTGAATTGCAGAGTACACTCAGACTGGAACTCCTACATAGATATTCTAAGTATAGCCGGTGAAATTCCAAATGAGCATCTACCAGAAGTATGGGACTTTTGAGGAAAACACATTATTAATGCTGGTGTTCTCCCATACATTCTGTTCCCTCTTCACAGGAGGGAGCTCCTCTTTTAAAATCTGCTTTCCTGTAGGGGTCAGAAGGCTCTCTTTGTTTCCCATAATGATAGGCTTGATTTCAGGAGGATTGTGTCCCGTAGAATTCTGTAAAAATCTGGTCTTTGGTATCTGATTCCTTACCACCAGAGGGAGATGTTCATTTTCTCGGTCCCTTTAAGTACTGTCTAGGAGTCTGGTGTGTTTTCGCACAAAAGAATGCTTTAAGGCCCAAACCTGACCCCGTCCCTCATCCTCCATTCTAACAGCACTGGCTTATCATTCTTCGGCTGCTAAAATTCAAATATTCTTTCTGCTCCATCGCTTTGATCTTATGATTGAGCGAACAGGATTACCTGGGGCTTGAACAGACCATCTGCTGCTTAGGTGCTGTCAGAGACTGACCCAAGTGTACTCTTGATCTTGGCTTTCCCATGATGTTGGGGAGGTTTAGTGCCTCAAAGTCAAACAACTGGCAGACACCTCGCTCTAACGATCAACATATATACGAACACCGAGGGTGTTATAAATAGATACGCAGAGCAATCATTTTCCAAAGAACTATAACTCCCCCTATAAATGTAGCTGAGGAACAAGGGTGGTGGCACACATCTGTAATCCCAGCATTCTGGGAGAGTGAGGTAGAGGGATTACAAGTTTGAGCCCAGCCTCGGCAACTTAGCAACTTAGTGAGACCCTGTATGAACACTTAAAAAATAAATTTAAAGGGCTTGGGATATAGCTTAGTGCGAAGGCCCTTGGGCAAATCCCCAATACTGCCACCACCAGAAAAAAAAAAGAAGGAAACCACTGATCTGGAGAAAACTTGCTATACATTTACAATTAGTTAAATATAACTTTTTCCATGATTCAAAGACTTATTTTTCTATATGGCAGGAACGCTTATTGTGAGATCTACCCTCTTATAGTTTGCAGGTGTACAATACAAGATCAGTAACTATAGGCCCAATGCTACTTAGCCTATCTCTAGACCTCATGCATCTTGGATAACTGAAATTCTGTATCCATTGAAGAGCAGTTCTCCATTCCCCCCCTCCCTCCAGGAACCGCCATTCAACTGTACTTTTAAGCGTTTGACTACTCTGGATACCTCATCCAAGTGAAACCATGCAACATTTTTCCTCCTATCACTGGCTTATTTCAGTTTGCATAAGGTCCACAAGGTTCATCCTCGACACACATTGCAGAATTTCCTTCTTTTCTCAGCTTGAACAATAATATGCCATCTTATGTATACACCTCATACTCTTCATCCATTCATGGCTAATCCAGTGATTTCCACATCTCAGCTATTATGAATAGTGCAATAACATAGGAGTACTAACATCTTTTCAAGATCTTGATTTCATGTGGTGGCGCACGGCTGTAATCCCAGCACTCGGAGGCTGAGGCAGGAGGATCACTGTGAGTTCGAGGCCTGCCGGGGCTACAAAATGAGCTTAAGGCCAGCCTGAATTGCATAGTGAAACCCTGTCTCAAAAAGGCAAAAAAAAATCCTGATTTCAATTTTTCTGGATAAATCCCAGAAGCAAAATTACCAAGAAACAATGCTATTATTAAGAAAACAAAAAACAATAAGTGTTAATGTGGTTATAGAGAGACAGGAGCCCTTGTACGCTGTTGGTGGGAACGCGGAATGGTACAGATGTGAAAAATACAATAAGAACTCAGCAAATTAAAAACAGAGCTATCTTGACATAGGTGAACTCTTCACATGAATCTGGAAGTACTGAAACAGTTCTCGGGGGGTATTAAATAATTCAAGACACTTGGTTACACATCTAGCCTTCCCTGGAAGTTATCTTACTAGCTACTTGAGATGGTAACCTGGATGTGGTACAAGTATTAGCTCTTTTCTAGAAACTCCCTCCCTATGCGCATTCCAGCAGAGGTCTTCTTGCCCTCTAAAATTTAAATTGAATTGGCTCAAAATTTCATGTTCTATAGAAAGTCCAATGTCTTATCTCACATTTCTGTGAATTCCTGACAAATTTATAATTTCACAGCCACACTGGCTCTGCCTTCCTGCAATTCTTGATCCCCACTTCTGCTCTCTTGTAGTTGTTCCTTTATCTTTGTCCTGTCATTGATCCAACTGTGAAATTCAGCGCCTTTCCTTGATTTAAAAAAAAACAACAAAACACTCAACCAAGGTGATTGCCAGAGACCTTACTGATGGCTTCGGAAATGGAAGTGGTTTAAATTCTGAACAAGTTGAATCACATATTGGATATTGGATATTGTCCTAACAGTTTTGTCAGACTGCTAAATTGTTGAGCTATATTCTCTGTTTTCTTCTCTCTTTTCTGTTCTTTCCCTCAACTCCAAATTTCTAAATAGTTTCCGATACGTTTATTCCCATCTCTTGCTATGCACGCCCCTAGGATCTTGTCCTCCAAATATTTTCTCAAAGTACAGTGGTACCCTTGGTTCATGAACTTAATTCTTTACACAAATCATACCACTGCATTTTCCTAAACAAAATCTAGAAAGAATTCTGGTGCCAAATGTGAGGAAGGTTATATTCTCACAGACTCATGTCACCATCTTAAATTGAGCTCTTTGTTCCACAACTGATGGCAAGTATGCAGGTGGGATGTTTCTGGTGACCAGTGATGGGAACCGGGAAAGAGACATCAAATATTGGAGTAGAAATACAGAATATGGGAGGGGTGTGCAGACACAGTAGCATAAGATTTTCTTGTCATCAACTGACTGATATTTCTTGAACACCTGTCCTGACTAAGGCTCCTGCAGGAAGCAGAGAAAGTATATACAAGTATACAGGAAAAAAAAAAAAAAAAAAAATCTTGTACGTGACCCTGTGGTAATACCAGCGATTAAAACACCTGGCATAGTAACGAAATCAGATTTCCCTTATCCAGGCTGAATGGAGAGAAGAAGTAAAGAAACATTTTGAGAAAATCAAAAGTGAAGGAACTTGCATACACCGATTAGATGAAGAACTGATTCGAAGGCGCAGAGAAGAGCTCAGGTCAGTGGATCTCCCCTTTATTTCTTCTCATCCCCGGGTCTCCAGATATTGGCAGGAATGCGCTTGGTGAATCAGCATCTTCACATCATGGAGTTACATGGCACTCCGTGCACGTGCACAATTTTTTGTATCAGTTACACTTTTTAAAGTTTAAACAAGCCGGGGGTGGTGGCGCACGCCTGTAATCCCAGCACTCGGGAGGCTGAGGCAAGAGGATCGTGGTGAGTTCGAGACCAACCTGGGCTACAAAGTGAGCTCATGGCCAGCCTGAAAAGCATAGTGAGACCCTGTCTCAAAAAGACTAAATAAATAAATAAATAAATAAAGTTTAAACAACAACAGAAAGTTAGCAATCCTTTTTATCTCTTCTATCCTCTCCTTCCAACTTTACTGTCCTCCCCTCCTGACTCTGCTATTCTCCTTTGTGATTTGCTGCAACAAAGGTCTATGGGGCAGAGCTGTTTGTTTATTCAGCCACTGGGCTGGTGCTGGGAAGGACCAGAAACGTGTAAGGTGTAGTCCTTGGCCTCAAAATCTTTTTAATCTATTAAGGGATACCAGACATATTCGTGGACAACCACTATGTTGGCTACTAAGACAAACTACCTGAGAGGTGATTTATAAACAAAAGGGATTTATTGCCCACAATTCCAGAGGCTGGGAAGTCTAGGCACCAGCAAATTCAGTGCCTGGTGAAGACTTGTTCCTCACAGATCACACCCTGTCCTCACCTAGCAGAAGGACAGAAGCACTTCCGCAAGCCCCATTTATCCTAATCTTTTTTACTTGGGCTCTGCCCTCATGACATTACACCTCCTAAAAGGCCCATCTCCTGGTACCACTTTGGGGGTTGATTTTAAGCACGGGGAGCCACAAACCTTGAGCGCACAGGATCTATGCTGGGAATAAGTACAAACAAATGATAATGGTGTCATATTCCCATGAACGTGTGTGTATAAGTATACTGCATTCTTATTAAAATAGTACCAACACCACACAAACGAAGGCTACAATTATGCTCCAATTTTATCCATGGCCCTCTTGGACCCTCCAGGTGGGTCTTTATGGGTAAACCAAGTGGAAAGTCTGCGTTTTCCCATCTCTCTCTTCTGGTCTGAGTCACTGTATCAGGCAAGGAAGCCTTAAAATAAAAACAGAGGGCCCCTGGGCAAATGCTTGTAAAGTAGGCCCTCTTGTTTCTCAGTTGGTGAGAGCCTGCCCGTGTTCCCCCAGGTTAGGAGACCCCGCTGATCCTGTGTTTTCATCCACAGGCATGCTTTGGACATCCGTGAACACTATGAGAGAAAGCTGGAGCGCGCTAATAACTTATACATGGAGCTGAGCGCCATCATGCTGCAGCTGGAAATGCGAGAGAAGGAGCTTATCAAGTACGTACCCGGACCAGCCAAGGTCCTTGTCGCTTTGCGCCTGTCGGTCGGCAGAAACGCACCCCTCTGCCACACTGCAGCTACTCAGAACTGGCAGATGTCTGAAGTCAGTCGCCCAGAATTCCCCAGAGGACGTGCTGTGCCCAAGGCCCTACCCCGGGGAGGCACACAGACGAGCGGAGCCGCTGCAGCTCCTGTGACAAGGGAGCACACGCTGCTCCGCGTTTACCCGCACCCTGCTGCGCGGTGCAGGGAAGGTCTTCCTTTCAGGAAGATCTTAGCGTGCATAAGCGGACGCTTATTACCCTGGGGGAGGTAAAGTGGCTGCTGAAAACGTTGAAGGTGGCAAGAATCCCTGGGGTCCTAAGAGAGCAGCAGCTGCTGAAAACAAGCAGGATTTCTGCCCTGTATTGTGCTGGGGAAGAGAAAGGAAGTGCCTGAACCGTGAGCTGCTGCTAGGAGGAAGTCGGGTTCATCTGAATTTAGTATCCTCTTTGTTTTTTTCACCTGAATAGCAGCAGCCTTGTTACTCAGAGAGCCAATATCGGTAGTGTGGCCAGAACCTATGGGTCCAGGTAGCCCGCAGCAGTGTTCTGCCCCTCTTTTCTAACAGCCGTGGCTGAGATGTGGCTTTTTCTTTCATCCCTCAGGCGAGAACAAGCAGTAGAAAAGAAGTATCCAGGGACCTGCAAGCGACACCCTGTCCGTCCAATAATCCACTCCAATGCCATGGAGAAACTCATGAAAAGGAAGGGTGTGCCTCACAAACCCGGGGTGCAGACCAAGCGGTGAGACACCTTCCCCACTGCTATGCAGATAAATGGCAAGATGGTCCTGAAAAATACTCTCTCAGAGGAGGGCGGATATGGCCACTTCCGGTGCGCATGGTTAGCACCCTGAGTTTATTGAAAACAGTAGGAATGTGAGAGATGCTGGGGCCTGGACACTATCCATCTAGTTTTTACTCTTGAGGCATAGGTATTTATCATCGACACCAAAGAGAGGACAGAAGGGATCCAGATAGACCGGGATTCAAAACCCAGTCCGCTTTGCAAGCTGTATTACATGGCCCATGGCACTCGCCCCCTTTCAACCCCAGGGTCCTCACGGATGAAAAGATATAAGAATAGAGTCACCAGATGAGATCTGAGGAGCTCCTCCTAAAGAGCAGACGAGGACCTCAACTCAGCCTGGGCAGATTCTCACCTTGACTGCAGAACGGTATTTCAGGACGCACCAGTGACAGGCATAGGCTGATTTATTAGACAGAGTTGGTAAGAAAACAGGAAGAGACTTCAGCTCAAGGAGCTGAGGGGGCACTTCTGATGGAGAGGATCGGACTGGCCCCTTAACAAAGGAACGAGACCAGCTTTTGGGGTCTTTGTTGGGGTGAGCAAGGGTCTTATCGATCATTATCTCAGTTCTGGTTTTGCAAAGTGGCTCCAGAGAAGCCCATATCGCTCTGACTCAATCTGGAGATGATCGTTTCTGCTTCTGTCAAAGTACAGAGGCTCTGCTGGAATCCAAGGTTCGAGGCAATGACCGGAAACTTCTAGGCGCTCCCTGGCAGCTGAATGAGACCGTAAATCTCTTATCTTGGTGTGCTCAGTCTGAAAGGGGTGAAGCACGTTATGCAAATTGAGGGCAAATCACCTCCTACTGCCAGTGTTTAGGGAGATATTCCTTAAATGATTAACATGGCTACATGCAGAGCCGAGCAGGAATCTGACCCAAAGTTTTAGAGTCATAAAGGAGACAGATACAAATGAAAGTCAAGCTTTGTTCTGCCTTTTTTTCTTTTTTTTGCCTTCTTTCTCCCTCCCCACAGGGTCTTTGCACTGAGTTATATCTCAGGCCTTTTTAAATTATTTTTTATCTTGAGACAAGTTCTCAAGTTGCCTAGTCTGGACTTGAACTTCCAGTCCTCCTGCCTCAGCCTTACAGAGTGCTGGGATTACAGTATGTGCCACCATGCACAACTCCTCTGCTTTTATTGGGCATCTGTGGGCCCAAGAGAACAGCCACAGGATTTTTTTTTTTTTTTTTTTTTTTTTTTTGGTCTTTTTGAGATAGAGTCTCGCTATGCAGTTCAGACTGGCCTTGAGCTCACTTTGTGGCCCAGGCTGGTCTCAAACTCGCAAGGATCCTCCTGACTCAGCCTCCCAAGTGCTGGGATTACAGGCATGTGCTACCACACCCAGCATTAGCCACAGGGTTTTTGTTAGTTTGTTTCAGCAAAAGCAGTTCTTCAAGTCCTTAACTTCAAGCCTCTGAAGAAAACACTGATCTGGCTTTTAATGAGTAACAGGCGAAGGGCCCAAGAGTTAGTTTGTCCTCTGTCCCTATGGTGGTCTTTCTTAATAACACATGAGATTTCTTTTTATTTTTATCACCCCCTAGAACACAGAATTGAATTCATCATAACTCTTGGTCCATGAATGGTGCCTTTTTATTTATACATTTCGTTACTACATTTTTTTCTGTTTGTTTGTTTTATGGTACCTGGGATTGAACCCAGGGAACACTGAGCTATATTCCCAGCCCTGTTTTGAGGCAGAGTCTCATTGAATTGCCCAGACTGGCCTCAGACTTGCATTCCTCCTTCAGCCTCCCAAGTCCCTGGGGTTACAGATGCGCATCTCCACACCTGTAATGCAGTGGCTCCCAGCTCTTTTTACTTTATTTTTTGAGACAAAGTCTTGGCTAAGATGCCCAGACTAGCTTTGAACTTGCAATTCTCCTGCTTAGTTCTTTTCAATAATGTAATAACACCAACAAAGACAAAAGCTGGGCCTTTGATAATTGCCTATGTCTAACTGTATGGTTCCTTTCATTCTCTCCCTGGATGGGTTTTTGTGAACTATTAAGTAGCATAAAATCATCTTTCTGATCACAGGTGTTCAAAAACTTGAGTTTTCGGGAGGCTGAGGCAGGAGGATCATTGCGAGTTGGAGACCAGCCGGGGCTACAAAGTGAGCTCAAGGCCAGCCTGAACTGCACAGTGAGACCCTGTCTCAAAAAGCAAAAAAAAAAAGCTTGAGTCTTAAGTAGTTAAAAACAAAAGGCCACTCTTTTTCCTTTTTTACATTTGCCTTATATTTAGTTTAATCTTTATTTTGGGGGCTAATGTTACCAGGTTTTAGGGTGCTGGAGTCTCCTTCTGGAGATGATTTCTAGGTTCTTTCTATACTGAGCAAAGAATTGGTCAAGACAAGCGCAGATGGTAGCAACATTTTATTAAAGGTAGGACAAGAAACAGGCTCTGCAGAGAGGGTTTGGGCCAGATAAAAGTAAGACAAGGAATGTACTCTACAGTGTGAGCGCGGCCCCTGTGCAAGAGAGAACACGGTGGCAGACAGGCCGTCCTATCGCAAACCTGCTCGAGTTCTCGCAAGAATCCTCCGGCAGGGCTTTGGGGACTGTTCTGAGCATGCGTCCCAGACATGGCTCCTTCCCCAGTCAGTTTTACCCACACTGTACCTTCCTAGTGATGGAGCTAGCTCAGTGACAGAGCACATGCCTAACATACACGAAGCCCTGGGTTCAATTTCCAGCACCAAAACAAACTTAATAAAAGCTTAGTACACCTTTAGACTTGATTTCATTATCTTCGTTTCATTTTTTTTAGGGAGCCATATAATTCCCAAATAACAGTGAATTGACTCTGTCCTAGATAAGTGTAAGAAAATAAATTTCCCTCAACTATGGGTATAGACTCAGAAGTGAGACTTGAATTAAACAGAGTAAGAATAAATGTAATGAGAAAGCCCAAACCAAGAACATATTTTAAGGGTATCAGAATGGTGGCTGTTTTACCGTCGTATGACTGATGCTGACCTAAAATACTAAATGCTAAAATAATGAGAGTTTAGCTTTTACTTACTGCCTCTGACTGTCTCCTGGTCAAATTCTGAGAAACTGTTTTCAGATGGTCCCTGGCATGACCCTTGGGGAAATCCCAAGCTCTTGTTTTCTTTTGTTGTACTAATTAGGGACAAAGTCCACCGCTGACCCTCCCTACTTTCTGCCTACAGTTTTAAAGCCAGGGACACAGAGGGAGAAAATCATAGGACAGGATGGTTAACTTTTTAACATAGGAGCTCATGTTTGCTTTTATGTTGGCTATAAGAAATGCCTGAGAGTTTGACACCACCGGAAGCTGTTTAGTCAATAAATGAGCTGGACACGAGGGAGGCACGTGCTGGGCAGTACGCTGTTGTCCCTCGAAGGATTTAAGTTCCAGATTATGTGGACAATCCAGCGACTGCAGAGCCGGAGATTCAAAGACCTCCAAGGAAATCAGAGAACAGAAACCACTCAGCACCCTTAAATACAGATTTCTGTCTGTGTCTGATTGGAGACTAGAAAAAACAGAATTGAGTTCAATTTTAGATCTTCCAAGCTGGTCACAAGCGAGTATACCCCAGGAAGATGGTGCGTATATATCCTAGTAAGGGGAAACCTGAAATGGGGAAGGCTCTGTGCTCTGGAATGAAAAGACTGTGTTTCAAGTTATCAGTTCTGCTTTACAATGAGTACAAGCCAGCTAACCTCTGACCCCTTATCTAGAAATGGGTGGTGTAATGATAGGAACCAAGTGCTTTGCAAACTGCGAAGTTGCAGAGCAAGTTTATTCTGTGATTTTCGCACTGTCAGCTTCCCCGAGAGAAACCTTTCCCAGACTTAGGACACGTTTACTTCAGCTCTCGTTTAGATATCACCATAGCCAGTTCCCTATAAGCAGATGCCTATAAGGGGCCGTGCAGGGCTCTCCTATCTCAGTAGAAGACCCAGAACCTCTTCAGTTCAGAAACTTTTGCAGCACAAATTGACTGTAGACTTCAAGGAAGCTTTTGCTGGAGCACAGAGCCCTGCCCACCTTATAAACCAGTAATAGCTGGAATGTCTATTAAGCAAGGCTTTGAGCTTACTTTTCCTGGAAAAGAAAAGAAGCTCATCTCTGACCCCCAGTGCATACTAATATCCTGTGAGGGGCCCAGCTTAGCAGCCTCTGAGAGCCTGTTAGAATTACAGGCTTGGAGACCCTGCCCCAGATCTACTGAATCAAAATCTTCATTTTAACAAGCTCCTCGTGTGATTCACCCCTACTTCAGGCTTATATTCTGACTCTCCAGTAAGCCAGGCTGGAAGCTGGGACCGACTACTGCCTGGATTCCAGCGAGAGCCTGAGCCGCTTCAGATGGTCTTTGGTTTCCTCCTGACATGGAGGAACGACTGTATCTGTGGAGTCCATTCAATGTCTAGGACACCCAAGGCTGCACTGCGGTGTCCCAGAGGACACTGAACGGGTAGAAAAGACAGAGGGGGACCCCTGCAGGGGGGTTTTCTGCCCCCCCCCCCAGTTACATCCACTATCCTGAATTTTTCATAATAATGCAGTTGAGAGAAAGATTCTGTTGTTTAAGAAAGAAGGACATTTGGACCTTCCAATTCTAAAATCTGCTAATTTGTATCTGTCTGGTCAAAAAGGGTGTGGCTACGCCTGAGTAGGAAGGAAGAGGCAGTACTTCCGGGTCAGTCACCCTGGCCTCCACCCTGAATCAGTTCTTCGGTTCAGGAATTATTTTTGTTTATCTATGGACCTTGGAATCCTTGTGAGCAAGGTTTACCTTCAGCCCTCTGACTTCCTGCTGCACATGAGCATCACGGCCTGCTGGGCCCTGGGAACAGGGCCAGGAGAGGACCTCCTCCCACTAGGGTCACAGCAGAATGCCTGTGTCACTTCTTACCAGCCCTGTCCTGGTCACCTCTGCTAACTTTCTGAGCTCTCTAATACTTTCTTCTTCTCTGACCTCTCTCTTCCCTGCCTTCCTCTAAGATTTATTGAACACTTACTTGTTAGGGTCCTTCACATGCAAAAATGGATAGGATTGGGGCTGGGGATTTCGCTCAGCAGCACAGTGCCTGCCTGGCAAGTGCAAGGTCATGAGTTCGATTTCCCGTACTGGAAAAAAAAAACAAAAAACAAAACAAAAAAAAAAATGGATAGGACTTAGCCTCTGCCCTCCAGGAACCATGTCTTAGCCAAACTCCTCAAACTGATAAGCCTCCTGCTTATCAACCCAGGTTTTCTTCCCGGTACCAGGCCTTGTTGCTTTGTGATCTCCTTTGTGATCCGTCACCAGACAGTTTCTGATGGTGAACAAATCCCCACGTCCACACCTGGAATATTAGCACCACGCTGAGAGGATAATGAAGAAGAATCAAAAACCCTGTAGAGTAGAACTACAATTTAAAGAGGATTGAGAACCTAGGCTAATGAGACACAGAATAAAATCCAGAGGAATAAAGCAAATACTCTGTAAATGAACAGTTGGGGTGTTTCCAAGTTTGTGCTGTTTTAAACAGTACTGTAATATTATAGTCTGAGACACACATCTGCATGCACATCTGTTCTCACCGCTGACTAAATCCCCGTATGTGTGGTTGCTGACTGCAGGGATGAGTAGGGCTGGGGATGTAGCTCAGCAGCAGAGGGCTTGCCTAGTGCGTGCAAGCCCCTAGATTTGATCTCCAGCACTGCAAAAAAATAAAAAAACAAAGAGTGCGTATGTTTTAAGACTTAGGATGTATTGCCCTGAACTTTAACATGTCTGCATGTGTTTAAAACTAAGCCTGCTCTTTTCTCCTAGGCCGGATCTGTTGAGGTCTGAAGGTATCCCTAGCGCAGAGGTGGCTCCCACCGCGTCCCCCTTGTCTGGAAGTCCCAAAATGTCCACCTCAAGTAGCAAGAGCAGATACCGCAGCAAACCGCGCCACCGCCGGGGGAACAGTCGAGGCAGCCATAGTGACTTTGCAGCCATACTGAAAAACCAGCCAGCCCAAGAAAACCCACCCCAGCCCTCTTACCTGCATCAAGCTCCACCCCCGTATCATAATCCTCTGCAGCAGCCATACCAGCAACCCGCTCCGGCTACGGCTCAGAATCACCACCCCAGACTCAGTATGCACGGGCAGGACATTGCAACCTGTGCCAACAACCTGAGGTATTTCGGCCCCGCGGCGGCCCTGCGGAGCCCGCTCAGCAACCACGCCCAGAGACACGTGCCTGGCTCCAGCCCTGACCTCATCTCCACAGCCATGGCCGCAGATTGCTGGAGAAGTTCTGAGTCTGACCAGGGCCAGGCTGGCCCCTGGGGCTGTTGTCAGGCTGACCCTTATGACCCTTGCCTCCAGTGCAGGCCAGAACAGCGTGGGTCCTTAGACAACCCCTCTGCTGAGCCAGTGGGGAGGAGCCGGGACCCTTCCGAGTCACCAGCACACAATCCTCTCTCAGAAAGCACCCGAGCTTCTGAGAAAACGGAAGAAGATGCATTCAACGGCTGTCGGCCCAACTCGTCCCTTGGCAACCCGCATCACATCGCCCCCCCACTGCTACCTCGAAAGCCAAGGCCCCTTCAGAAGGTAGGTGTGACAGCAAGAGGGGTCTGCATCCCTGCCTTTGAAGAACATCAGAGCCCAGCACGTTGTGCATGCTATAAACATGCTTTAAAAGTCTACATTTTAGAGAAAGATGAGATGACAAAAGCACAAATCGAGGTTTCTTTCGCTTCACTTTCCACACCATTTCAGTGAGGGACTGGGGAGTAGAGTTTGGGAACCACTGAAGTAGGGCTGATTCAAATGTAGATAATCCGTGGATAAACACCTACTAGGCATGTGTAAGCAGAATAGCTTGGAAACCACTACCTAGAACTCTAGTCTTGAGGGATGTTTCAGGAAGATAGCATCTCATTATATAATAGTTTGAGAAGCAGCTTTCTGTCTCCTCTTAGAGAGTCCTAGTGCACGTTGACATAAATCTTAGACTCTTTCGTTTTGTTTTTTAAGACAAGGTCTTGCTATATTGTTCAGGCTGGCCTTAAACTCACTGTGTAGCTCACACTGGCCTTGAACTCACAGCAATCCTCCTGCCTCTGCCTCCTGAGTGCTGAGGGATTACAGGTGTGCGTCACTATGCCTGGCTTTGGGAAACCTTGCGGTAAATTCATGCAGTCTAGTGCTTCCCCCACCTGTTTGACCTTTTAAGGTAGCATCTATTAATCCCTGGTGGAACTAGCTTTCTTCACAATATACTTTATGAAACATTGCCTTAAGTAATAACCACATCAAACTGCCTAGTTCTTAGTCTCTGAAACCTGTTTCCCTTCTCATTCACTGGCTGCCTGGAGTTTACCAGCCAGGCAGCATCTACTGTAGTGGCTCAAATCTTAATTCAAAGCCAGGTTCTTTCACTCAGTACCTCTGTGAAGCTCAGTTTTCTTGTTTAAGAATTTCCACTATAATGGACTCTGCCTCATTGGTTGATGTGAGGATTAATACATAGGCATTTATATATATATATATATATATATATATATA